TAGAGTCTGGAGAAGCAGGAGATGGCACACCCACTTCAGCCAATGGCGGGTCCAAGTGACACAACGACCAAGAACAAAGCCCGGAAGGATTAACCCTCTTGACTAAACAAACTATCCCTATGAAAATATCAAGAAAATAAGTAATAATCTGAATTTCTGCTTCAATTATTATAATGTATTCTGATATGCCTGTATATGAGACACAGGGATCAAAGTCTAGCACGAGGCCTCAGCTACACGAAGTATGTATTAAGCCTAACAACACTTAAGTTCACTTTCGTTAATGAATATGTCTTAGTGTGTCTTCTTTTATATCCTAAATTACTTTAAAGGATATTTCAGAGGAAGAGCTGCGCGTTGATGACCTCTTAAGATCGAGGGTACACGGATGATTATCTCATGTTATTGTGCCATAATAACAATAATTTAGATTCGTCCTTTGGATTCTTTTGTAATGGAGTACTTCAAAGAAGTTACTATACAATTAGAATAGGACAACAAATTGCAGTCTTTATAAGGAATGAATGTATACACAACACTGTTTTTTGCTAAATACTTTTTTATTAATTTTTTTTAATTATTCAACTTACTTTCAAGGCTTAAAAAGCTTAAGGGCTAAAAAGTGCCTACTGTTCTAACCTCCTGGTCCCTGGGATTTATGTCTGCAAGAGGATTTCACTATAGCCAATTTAATCAAATTACTGATCAGAACAAAATTATGAATAGAAGCCACACTTGCAGGTTTCGTACTTGCTAGGACATCTAAGAATCATGACTCAACTATCAGTCCTTAAATCTTGTTAAGCCGCCTAGGCCGACTAAATTCCTATTCTAGGTTGTTATAGCAGAAAAGTGGTTCTTAGTATTAAAAAAACAACAGTTCAACTACCAGACAGCTCATTGACCCAGGCGAACGGCTATTTGAACCACTTAGTTGTTTATGGAAATTTGGGTAAAAAATCACCTTCTAGCTAAACCTCATGTTTTATCACCTTTCTATTGCAGCACACAGATCAAACCCGGTACAATAAATACCTCAATAAAGACATTCGAAGATAACAAACAATTTTATTGAAGCAGTTTAACCTCATTCTCTCCATTTGGTCGTGTTGTCAAAACGAGCTAGATGAATGCACCTTGTTCAGGGTCCTTAGACATAAAAGTTATGATAAGTCCCAGCGTCGGACCGCGTACTTGTTACATTTCGATACTTTATCCGGCGTCATCAATTGATCTTTGAACAAGGTGCGTTCAACCGGATCCCCTTAACAACACGACCAATTTGCGAAAACCAGATCAAACCCTTTCTATACAGCAAAAGATGGCTGTGACCAATACAGAGGCCCCAACATCTTGGTCTTTATATCTACGACCAATTTTATCGTTTTTGTTTGACCTTGTTTTCGCAACTTGGTCTGAGTGACAGGCAGACCTTGTGGAACGTGCCCAGTCCTGCTTCAAGCCAATGGTCCGATGCTGGAAATCATCATGGATACTCGAGGACAGAGGAGGGAGGACTGCGTACGTTCCGCAAGATCGCCCTGTCGCTAGGATCAGGTTGAGCTAACGAAGTCGAGCCAACACTGTGCATCCAAAGAAGGCTGTGACCAAACACAGAGGCACACCGTCTTGGTATTTATATCTACAATATAATTGTATTGTTTTTTACAATAAAATTATTCTGTTTCTTTATTAGGAAATACTTTGTGTTGTCCCCTAATTTTTGTTTAAACGAAATTCTACGTGTATATACCAAAACACGGATGGACGTCTTGTTTATTCATCTGGTCTCCATCCTTCCATTTCACGTATTCCTCCCTTTTTCACTCTTTACTTTCATTAATTCAAGCTATTCAAGCCTGCCATCTACTTGGCCCTCCACTGGTCCCTCTGTCCTGTCCTAAGCCAGGTGACCGCATCATAAAGGAAGGCCAGATACATACCTTGTCTTATGTTGAGTTGGGCTGCCAAACCGGAGCTCTCTCAGCTTCATTTCCTCCCGCAAGCAGCCATCCTGCCGCCATTTGTCTTCAGGTCAACCTAAACCTTCTTCGTATTGGACCCACATCTGGTGGAGCTGTCCATCTCGCCAAGACACTTCACCATCGATGGGCTTTGCAAAACTTCGAGTCCGAAAGAAGGTCCCGGCTCAATGTCGTTTTAAGGCCTGGACTCGGCTATCTTACCGGAGGCTTGGGGAAAGCGTTAAGGGAGACTCTTCATGCGACTGGCAGAGCCGATCTTGACGTCACTCTTCCCGTTTGCTCGGCAGCCCAAATGCCCGATGGATATTGGTCACATCTACTAAGTCTTACCAGTTTTCCCCAATTTGAGGACCAGTTGCATCTTATTTGGTTGGCTAACTCCACTTCCAGACAGCTGATTTTGGCATGGCAGTTGAATCGAGATACGGGGTTTAATAGACTCTTGTCCATCCGAACTGGCGAGCATCCCAACTTCAATGAGGTATCTTGATTAATCATAATTTCTTTACTAATTTTACCGCATGGATAATTCATTTGTTGGCTGGCAACATAATCGTAGATATGAAAACCAAGATTGCGTGTCCTCTGTACATAATTGATTTTGCCTCGAGTTCGCAGCTTGGCCATTCTGTCCGAGTACTCTGTCAATCTA